CCACCCCCCACACCCAAAAAAAAAACTACTTTCAAATTTTAAAATTGCTTTTTTATTTTTAATTTTAAGTTTTTTAGATCACCAATTGGGACAACCATCCAGGTCTTGAAACACTTATTCCAACAATAATGCATCTTAGCATCACTACCAACCAATGATGTACACCTTCATGTACATTACAGGCGATCGATCCTTGACCATCCATTTAGAAAGCATGAACAACTGTTGATTTAGCAGATTTGATGCACCCATTCATTCTGCAGATATGATACACCTATTTACTCAAGGCAATGAACAAAAGACATGCTCCGTGCACTGAGACAAACTCCTTGAGGCTTAGTCGCTTAGATGAGTGACATGAGCTCCTCTTGTATGCCCACAAATTGCGGCCCTTCGAAAGGTGGCCTGTTCAAAACGGAAGTTTTACATGTGACCCATTAATTTTTTTTTTTTTGGGTGCGTCACCGCTGCAAATCATCAAGTGCTAATCAATTAAGCCCGTGCTTTTTTTTTCATGTGACCTCATTTACATATAAAATATATGTAATCCCTGCTCTCGGCCATCAAATCTAAATAGATGGCTAAAATAGCTCGAGTTATAATGTCACAAGTTGGCTCTTAAGTGTCAGATATTGTTATGAGAGTTCAAAATGTTTTCTTTTTTTGTTTTATAAGTTATGTTGCAGCAAAATTTGGAATATACATATCCTTTAAATTTTTTCTATCAAACAAAATTTGGAATATACCTACATTTGATAGGGGCGCAAATGATAAAAAAGAAAAAGAAAAAAAAAAATTTTCCTCTGATAGAAAATTACCAAAATTTCGCTGAAATTTTTGGAGGCAATTTGATCATTTATTTTCATGAGAAATATTTTTAAAAAATTTTGCTAGGTGGGCCCAATAAGTTTTTTTTGCTAGGTGAGCCCCAATAAAAAGACAAGATACCCCAAATCTCACTCAAAAATGTTTTATAAAAAAAATAAAAAATTTAAAAAAATATTTATGTGTGACATGAGCAATCCTATCTGTCCATTTAGATGGAATAACTAAAAAGTGGGTCCTAACCGTCCATCTAGTTGGAATAACTCAAAAGGTCGGGTCATGTGTAATTTATAGGCGGGTAGGGTCATGTGTAATTTATAGGCGGGTAGGGTCATGTAGAAAGCTTTCCCTTGAGTAGAACATCAATTCCAAAGTGCATCTTAATAAATGACACAACACTGAAAATGCCTTTCACATCAACATAACAATCAAATATTGAATTTCTTTTCTTGTCTCCCATTGGGCCCCCAACAAAGGGCAAGTCGCACATTTAATTTACAAAATAAAGAGTACTGTGAGATGCGAGGCAAAGAAGAAGGATAACTCTGCCCAAGAGTTGTGATCCCTCACGTGCCACACAAAAAGAGGTTGAACCCTCACATTGGATATTAAAAAATATTCATCATTTTGCACTTGCCACACTTAACATTAGGTGGAACCGTGGAAGGTCAAAAGCTAGTATCGAATCACTCGGGTTCAATGTGAGCATTCATAAAATAATGAGTAAGCCATGGTCCCGAAGGGGGATGCTGTTCACCTGCTCCCTTGTGCAAAGACACGGTAGGGATTTTGGATATGAAATTTAGGGTTCCAACTAAGAATCAGATGATTATGTTCAAAAGAAAAGATTTGGATTTTTAGTTCTTCAATCCTTAGATCTTCCATCCGAAAATCAGACAATCTCTATTTGATCTTGGGATGCTATTTTTATAGGCATATAGAGAATGTGATCTGAATTTTGTTTATTTTCTTAAGTTAGTAGCTAGGTTGAAGGAGCCTTAAAAACAACCCTATATTTGTTTTCACCCAAGTGAATAAATAGATAGCGTGCTCCTGCTGGAGCATGATGGCTTCATATAAATTTGAATGGGTATGATATGGAACTTGACAGATAGATGACATCAACCCTAATCATGAGGTGTTTAATTATTGGCTTTGCCTTTAAGTATAGTTTATTATAGAGTGTTTAAGAGTTGGTTTTGGGTTTTATTAAGATTATTGTAGTGTATGGTGATCGAAGTTTCAACTCTAGAGGTTCATGGGTGGCTTAAATAGGAGGAGGTCTAAAAACTCAATATTCCTTGGGTACTATTCAAGGGAAGATGCCTGTATTGTTTATTCCAAGTGTCCCTCATAAATAATTAATATCAAAACGTTTACAGGCTTCTACAAAAATATATGTTCCTGCTATAGACCTCAAATTTTAGGTATGTAACCTCAACCTAGCAACATAAAGGGGAAAAATAAATAAATAAAAAATCAAATCAAGTAGTCAGCATGTATTGAGGATAAGAACGTCTTGATATTGAACAAAGAATTTTGATTTTTACATGGGGTTATCAAAGTTTTTAGATTTTTTGTTTTTATTTTCAATTTTTTCAAAATAATCTACTAATTCCGAAGTGGATTTCATAAAGAGAAAATTACAAACGGATACCTTTTCCAACGTTTTAACGTATGCTCAAATTTCTTGCAGACAAGATGAGAACCTCGTAACCGAAGGAAGTTTATCTTTTGGGTGTCTAGTATTGAACTTTATCCTTTGGGTGTCTTAGTATCGTAATTACCGGACAGGTATGGACTCCATGTTGGGATAACGGTCAGGTGATGGAGAACCACAAAACTCTATCCAGTAAGCCCAATTTCCACCCCTTTTGTAGTTGTGTTATTTCTTCTCGCTCTCTATCCTCTCATCACTCTCTCTATCTACCCGGAGCTTGCTCGCTCTGCGAATGGTCGGTCGTCTGGAGGTATCACATCCGCAGCCATCTACCCGTCCATGTCCAGGTAGGTTTTTTTCTTTTTTTATTTGTTTCTCTCTTTTTTTTAATGGAGATTTGTATCATTTTGGACCTGTTGAATTAAATTGTCTATGGCTTTGGTAGGGATCAGTCATCAATGAATGGTTGGTCAATGTTTTGGGGGAAAAAAAGGAGTAATGGCGGATTGGGCTTTGGGGACCAAAAAACCTAAAATTTGGATCCTAATGCCTCCTTTAAATAAAATATTTCAATGAAATTCCATGAGGCTTTGCTAGTGGTTTCAATTACCAGTATTTTGAAACAAATTTTCAGTTTTTGTTTGTTGAGATTTGAAGGAGAACACGAACAAATGGCATATAGGGTTTGGGTCGTTGAAAATGTGAAATCTTGATCTTAAAAGTACGGACATGTGTTTTTGTTCTTATTTCATTGTAATGGGGTTTATTATGTGCCTCACTTAGCTTGAGCTCTATGGGGGCTAATAATTAGAGGAAACTATGGTTTCGATAAGAATATTCTGCAATCAAAAGCTAATGGCAAATTCTGGATCTTCTTATGCATGGAAGGGCATAAATGCATGTAGATCACCTTTTAGATATAATTTAGGGATTTTCTACAAAGAGATCGTCGATATATGTTGTATATGGAAGTCACAATCATTCCCACTTATTGGACGTCAAATTTGATAGTTTGAGTTGAATCATAAAATCCGAGAATTTTTTTTTTTAAAACTTTGTCTATTCAATGTCACTCTTGCCATCACCCATTTATTTACACCGCTATTAACATATGTACCATGTACAACAGATCAAAAACCTCTTTGAAATTTACACCGCTATTAACATATCTACAAGAGATCTTCTATGTCCCTCTCAAAGAAGACTCATGGTATAGGAATTAAATCCTAATGCCGTCTTTACAGCGAAATCCCTTTATGCCAAATTAGTGGGAAGATCGTTTCTTAACAAACAGGCCTCAGGCAAATAAAGTTCAGTTAAAGCGCCACATCAACTTAAGCCTTTCTTCCTTTGTACATTCCCTCATTTTACACCAATGAATTTTTGTTTCAACATTCATCCAAAGAGAGAGAGAGAAGAGAGAGAGAGAAGGGGAAAAAAGGATACTTATTTTTTTTTTAGGTAAGGGGAAACGTAAAACAGAATGATTGCTAAAAAAATTGTTACGGGTAGAGAATAAAAAATGTTAAACATAATTCACTTTGTTATAAAAGAGAGATTTTTTAACAAAATGATCCTCCATCTCCATCATACTCGAGAACGTCCAAGAAAAAGTGATCTGAAATTCTGGTGGCCATATATGGCGACTTGAAATTCTATATCTACCTCTTATCTTTGAATTTTGCAACTTCAAAATCGTGCGGATCAAGCAAATCTACATACACTACACGCATCTTAAAAAGGAAGGCCCATATCAATGTGTTACAAGTACTATTTTTAAGACGATCCTTTTTTTCCATATCATGCATCTCAAGGTAAAGACGATCAATCAGAGGTTTCTACAGCCTCAAATCAACTTTTGTAGGGAACTATAGAGATGAGCCTTCCAGCCCCTTAGGTGGAGTGCCATTTTCGCCTTTTTGGTGCAAATGGGAAAGATGGGTTTCCTATATGCTACAGTATTCCGTGTTTTCATGATATCAAGCATCAGAAAACAGAATTTTACTCCGAAAAACAATTCCTGAAAAGACTTTTACCCACACAAGTTCAAGTCATCCAACAGGTAATGATTAAATGGACACATTCGTCACCTTTACAAGTATTTCCTTCAGGGAAATTTTTTAAGTGGATTTTAACTATTAAACATTACTCTACGAGTAATTAGATAAATTTCGGAACCTATTTTCATGTGTCATCCAATGGGCTATTTACATTTTGGTCAAAAGAATAAAGTCCCATTTGATCAGAAAATATGAGTAATGCATCAAATAGTCTGAAATATTACTTGATCAATCGCTTCTTTTACCCCCTAATAACCGTGGAGAAAATCAGGACCATCCATCCAAATAATCACTGTACTCAAATTATCTATCACAAGAACCTCAAGACAAATCCAATATTTCAGGCCTAAAAACCCTATATCCAGTAACAAGTCCAAAACAGAAAATCAACAAACAGAAAATCGTGTCTTCCACCAATATAAAGAAACTTGGAGTTCCTCCAGTTTACTTTACGTAGGGTATGTATCAGCAATCAGCATGACTACATTGCAATTGTGTAATGTAAGATCTGAGCAAACTATGGGTTGGTATTTAAAAAACCAAAATGACCTGAAAAAAGGGCCCTTCTTCTATCTGTCCTTGAGCTCCTGCTCAAATTGGAACAATTTGTTGCGGATTGGCAGTAAGAACAGTCTCAGATCCTTCTGGACTCTCAGCTCATCAGCCTCATTTAGACCCTTCTCGTCGTTTAGTCTCACAACCATCTGCATATCCACATTCAAAAAGTTTGGAGTTTCTACTCAGATAAGTCAGTACCCAACCTCTCTCCCTCTCTCTCTCTCTCTGAGAAAAATTATCACATAATGATGATCAGAATAATTGGAACTGATCAACTAAATGCACATCAGTTTCGAAGAAGAGACTGCATTTCACATTTGTGCGCCTATATCTGATTGTAATTACAAGGTCCATGATACCAACCTGCAGGTCTTCTAGTTCACCAAAAGAAAACTCTGGGATATCGATGTGACCCTTGAATTCCTTTTTGTGCTCTTGGATCAACCATTCACCTGATTCCATTGTTCATTAATAGTAGAGAAGAAAATGGAATTACAGCAAAATATCTCAATGATAGTAACATGCCTTTAAATTTCAAGGTAACCTCATATGAATAACCAACACGTTTCTTGTTTCTCACAGTCACCAAAAATGCCTGCAATAAAATTCTGTAGCAGTCACGTACCAAAAGAAAAGCAGGACAACACTTAAAGAAGAAAAACCAGGACGAGGAAGCAAATGGGATTTCGGCAATCAATCAGAATCACCCCTCAAAGTTTATCTGTCGTTGCAAAAATATTACAATACCACAAATAAACACGCTATTCATTTGCAACATGATATAGTGCTGAGATCGTTCCAATATGACTCCAAAGCTTCATTTATAAAAGAGTGAAAGGATAAATATAAACACTCAAACCTCTAATAAAACAAAAGTCCAAAAGTAGTTCAAAACATTTAAGGTCTAGAATAGAGGTATCCAGATTTTTAATACAGCCCCAAAAAATTGTACAAGTAACCCGAGTTTTTACTTAAAAAAAGCACATCGATTTACTGCATGCAGTATGAAGATGCAAACTTATGGTGTTGATTATGATAGCTTTTATCTATTGGTAAGATAAAGGATGGTTTTGTTATTTTGTGAGAATAGCATCAATGCATTGCAAAGAAGCCCAAGACAAAATGCTAAACATATTCTCAGTAAACTATGTATTCTTTAAGACAAATTTCAAAGATAGGCAAACCATGAACTTATATACTCAGATAATCTAAAATGCATAAAACCAAACTATGTGTTCTTGGGGAAATTGGTTGAAGCCATAGTTCCCATGGGAGAAAAATGGTTTATATATTATGTTGGTAAACGATCAAGTCAGAAAAGAGCATCATTCATTAAACAGAAACATTTTCAAGATTATGGGGAATTCAGCAAGAATGCAGTGATAAAATACATATCAAGAAACAAAATTTTGTATAAACCCGGAATTTAATGCAGAATCAAGGAAACACATCTTAAATGATTCACAAACTGGATTAAGCATAAGAAATACATGGAAAATCATTGTACAATATGTAATATACAAAGATATGCAGTTCATCATAATATAAAAAGGTTCCCAAAAAAATTGGAAAAACATGTTTCAAATCAGATTCCCAACTACTGAAAAGTTCCGTGATAGCGCTCTGAGCATTTGCATACCAAAAAAAATATTGTGGGCTGTGAGCTGTATAGCAATGACTGAAGCTATCAGTGAGCACCACCAAAATACTGCCTTATCATCATTATCAACCAACTCATTATCCTCACCAACTCATTATCCTCGAGTCCATTACATGACTCCAGGCGTCCAAGTTCTATTGAGAAAATATAGTCCAAACACTTCGTATGTTGCAAGTCAGAACAAACTAAACTATGTGTTATAGTTTGCAAGGTGACAATTTATAGTTACTATATGTGACTTGTTTAGATAACTTGATTGATTAGCATAGGGCAGATACACAGATGCAAATACATGCACAGAAAGGAAGATTTAGAAACACGCAGACGTGCGTCCTTCCCGGTCCTCTCGTACTAGAGAAAGGTCCTCTCAATGCTCTAACGCCCACACCGGATATGGACCGAACTGTCTCCCGATGGAGTATCCTGGGGGATTCGTTGTGCCTTACAAGAAACCACTTTTTTGCCACCCCCTCCCATCCACCAGTTCTCGTACGAAAGGCAATCCACGTCTGTGATATTCTACCCATCTCCATCGAATCCACTTCTTCCATACAGCTCGCATGACATTTAATCACCTAAAGTAATAAAATGTGGAAAGAGAAACTCACATCCCCTGAACACTTAGTTACATCTGATATTCCTGCTTTACCACCTGAAAACTCCAAGGAATCTAGAGAGGAAAGCAACTCCTGTACAAAAAAACCAAGAGGATTAATTCACAGATTCGGAAGGAGAAATATCAATCGATGGTCAGAATTGACCAGCAATGCTATAACCAAAAACCAATAAAAGAATTAATACAGGAAGTCCTTGATAACACACCTTAATCCTATTGCTGGCCCAAGTATTCAGATTTTTCTCTTCCCATGTCCCAGCCTGCACATAAGAAAGCAATAAAGTAATAAATATCCTGAAATGGAAATCTCGACTGCAAATACCTAGTAGCGAAAAATCGTAAGTTTCCAATATATCATCAAGTGACAAATCTTCTTAGCATGGCTAGGAATCATTCTCCAAACCTACTAAAGTAACACATTACCAGGCTCTACAAAATATCGCACCTAAACTTATGACTCATTAAACCACTATCACTCAATTCATAAAAAGCAAAACTTTTGAAGAACCAACAAGGCATGTTGGTTGAGTATGAAGACTCAATGAACAATCATAACCCAAAACCTACAAGAAGTCAAAGAAATCACCATACCTCACAATTCACACAGATAACTATATTATAGAACATTCTAGGGTGGTCTAGCATGACCACCCTACCCAAGCACATGGTCTTGCACCCAAAACATATAGCTAGGAGGATCTTTTTGGTTTGAAATTTTTCATATCGTCTCTAATTCACTTGGGAACAATTTCACAAAAAAAGAAGAAAAAAATAAAAGATTGCAAGAGAAAGCATGCTGGAAATATCTCAAAATAGGTGCTTGGGTGAATATTGACGGTGCATAAGGAATATGTCCATAAACAAAAGGAATCCATCTATTGACGGCGGTCCAATCTATTGACGGCAGTCCCCACAGACAATCAAATATTTTTCCTAATTGTATGTATATATCATATCGTATATACTGTACATCCATGCTTCTTTTTTCTTCCAAAATATGAATGCTCCAAGCCTAATATTTGCATGATGTTTGAAGCCTTGGCATAAAGGAGATCTTTAATGCAGTTTTTGTCTCAAACAAATAAAAGATTGCAACAGAAAGCATGCTGGAAACTAGTTTTATTTAGTCAATTAGGAGCAACGACACAAAAGGCATTATCAAAGATAAAATGAGCAAAGTTCAATTGCAAAAGTCCAAGAGGAAACAAGAAACACACAACAGCCAGAATACATGAAGTCATGAACATCTTTCGTGCAATCTATCAAATTTTTTAGAAGAAAAAATATCCTAAGTTTCATTCGGATTTCATCACTTAACCAGTTACCATGGATTATTGATCATATTTATCAATTCCTAAGGTACCAAAACTCTGTTCCATATACAGGTACAAATTAGGTATAAGTGATGTCGGGCACATGGAAGTGCATTAAAGTGGCTATGATCTGGCCTCTGCCTCTTGGCATGATGTCCTTGGAAAGGTGGGAGAAGGGTCAGGTGTCCATTGCTGATAAATTATATGTTCCATATGAAAGGTTGGGCAATGGTCAAATAAGGGAGAGGACCTTAAACTTTTCCTTAACCTGTCCCAAGCCCGGGTAAAGGAGGTGGGTCGTGTTAGGTAGGCATCCAGCATAAAACTTTGCCACATCTTATCATGAATCTTGAACCTACCAAGGGTATGGCCCTTGATAGAGAAAACTTGAGCAACAGGATTCATGTAGCCGACCCCAAATAATTGAAAAAATGCTTGGATGATGATGATGATGAAAGGTTGGACGAGTTTTAAGTCGTTGTTATGAAGGGGTAGTCTAATTATTCTTCTTCTTCTTCTTCTTCTTTATAAGAAAACTTTATCCAAGTATCAAGAGGTGTATAAGGAACAGAAGCAAGAAAATAAAGGACGACACATAACCTGATGCAAACACCAAAAGGATTCTTGAGTTCAACAAATTTGGGTCTGTAAAGACCAACATGAAGTCAAGAAGCGGCATCAATTAATTTAATCCATTTACAAACAAATAGTTTGATGGGTTTTTGTGGTCTCATAAGTAACTTAAATATTTTAAACTGCTTGGGGAACTTTTCTAGGTTTTCCAAAATAATTTGGATCTATTCTTTTAAAGGTCTGCAACCAATGTTAGAAAATTCACCCTAGGCAGGCCTATTAGGCGCCCTACATCTAGGTGCTACAGTCTAGGTGCTTGCCTAGGCACTTTCTCGAGACAGTTTGGAAAAAAGGCGGAAAAACCCTCATCGAGGGTAAAAAATTGTTACCCCCCGCCCCCAAAAAGGGGGTAAAAAGGTTTTGGGGGATATTCTAAACCCCCAAAACCAAAACCGTACCTTTTAGAGAGGGAAAAACTCCCCAAAAACTTCTCTTTTGTGATTTTTCGCAAGATCGATGAATTTTTTATTTTTCAATTTCTTCTCAAAACAAAGGCAATAGCTCGTGGCGGTTTTTGGAGCTTCTAGTAGTCGATTTTGAGGACTTTTAGCGACACACTAGATGCGGTTTGCACCGACATCAATTTAATTTTGATATTGTTAAAGTGTAATCATATTTGAATAAGAATTTTGATTTGTTATAGAGATTTTGCTATAACATATTATGTTGTGAATCATTTGTTTTTTTTTTTACTTTCTTTTTTCCTTTTACAATATTTTTATATGTTTGTAGTTGAAAGATTGAATTTTTTGTGATTAATTGAATTTTTCCTTATTTGGAAGATGCAATTGGGCATATATCGTATTTTTTTATGAATAGTTGATTCTTTTTTTGTACAATGTGTCATGTTTTAATATTCTATTATTTTTGTTTTAATTTATTTGATAAATTAATAATTATTTGATATCTTAATGAGTTAAGTGAAACTGAGATCTTATATATTCATTTAAGTCTTACTGTAAAACTAAGTCTTACTACTTTAAAACTAACAGTACCTTGTTCCTAGATGGAAGCCTAGGCGGCCCGATCCCCCAAAACACCTAGGCAGGGCGCCTATGCTTTCTTGAACACTGTCTGCGACATATATGCCCTAGTTTTTCTAAACCAAACTATTTTGTCGACTCAACATTTACCTATAGGTCACCTTGCCGGTACCACCTCCAAATCTCCTAATATTGTGACCTAGACAGTTAAATAGTTTTTTCTAGTCTTTCTTTGGTGAGTGTCAAATTTTCTCGATCATTATTGGTTTTATCGATGTTTTGGAACTTTATCTACTTGTGACTTAGATATACTAGATATACAGCCAGAAGTTTTCCCTGGGACTCTACTAGCATCATAACCAAACAACACCAAAATAATCAGAAAGGAGATTCAAATCATGCAATAAGTGGCAAACACCCTCCCTAGCCACCGTGTGCAACAACTACTTACCTGCCTTATGGATATGGATGGTCGAACCTAATTTCTCGTCGTCTTGGATCGGCTAAGATATGGGTGATCCGATCGGAGGAATCCTCTCTCAAACAATTGCAAGGCACACGTGCGTATGTGCACGTGTGCTTGTAGTGTGGATAAGAACCAACAAAGAGAGAGATTTTAATCAACAAAGAAGGGCTCGAGCACTTATCTTGCAGTGTTGGGTTCGAGGGACGCGTCTGAACGATTCGCCCTCTTAGATCATCTCGAAAGCCCTCTGGCTGTCCTTGCAACGCGGTTTGAATTTGACTCCCTCGCTTTCCTGCGAGGCACTTGGATCCACACACTAAAAATAGCCTTCAGGGTATACTTTTTGGGGTCTCTTCCTTTTGGCAATATGATAAATTGAGGGCCTAAACTAAGGACTAGAGGGGTATGTAAGAGGGTGGAGATAGGAGTGTGTGGTCGAGAGTGAAGTGGGTGTGTGAGTGAGAATGTACAGTGTGAGTGTGTGAGCGAGTGAGGCGAATGTGTGAGTGAGAGTATGTGAGTGGGTGTGTGTGTAAGTGTGAGCATGAGAGAATGGAAATAGGAGTGTGTGGTAGAGAGTGAAGTGAGCGTGTGAGTGTGAGTAATAACTAGTGTGTGACTGAGAGTGAATATAAGTGTGTGAGTGTGAGTGAGACACAAGTGTAAGAAATGAAGAGAATGTGCAATAAAGTGTGAGTGAGACTCACATGTAAGAGAGGGGCTGTAGATGTGTAAGGAAAAGAGAGATTTGAGAGGGAGAGTTATGTGCAATAAAGGGAGAGAGAAGATTTGAGAGAGAAAAGAAGAGAGAAAGGTGACGAGGGGGGAGAGAGAGATAAATATGTCAGGGAGAAGAGAGAGGATTTGAGAGAAAAAAGAGGAGAGAAAGGTGGCGTGAGGGAAAAGAGAGAGAAAGGTGACGTAGAAGGGAGAGAAAGATTTGAGTGCAATAAAAGGAGAGAGAAGATGTGAGAGAGAAAAGAGAAAAGAGGGAGACGAGAGAAATACGGGAGGGAGAAGAGAGAAAGGCGGCGTGAGGGAGAAGAGAGAAAAATGTGACATGGAAGGGAGAGAAAGATTTAAGCGAGCAATAAAGAGGGAGAGAAGATTTGAGAGAGAAAATAGAAGAGAAAAAGAGATAATGATTGCGTGAGAAAGAGAGATAATGATTGCGTGAGAAGAGAGTGGACACCTAAGAGAGAGAATGGACAACTAAGAGAGAGAGAATGGTTGCATGTGAAGGAGAGACAGTGGTTGCGTGTAAAAGAGAAAAGGAGGAGATGAGCACGGGTGGAGGGAAAAATGGGAGATGAACGTGTGTGGAGAGAAAAATGAGAGAGGAACGCAGGTAGAGAGAGGATAGGGCATACTAACGAGCATGGAGAGAAAATAGAAAAGAGAGAGAAAAAAAGAGAGGAGAGAGAGAACTTTACCATCCTGCGTAATTGCCCTTGGACCTCCTCTCTCCCTTCTCTTTCATATTTTTCTCCCTCTCTATCATCCCTTACCCGCTGACAAACTTGGAGCAGCTCCCTTCTCTCCCTTATTTTTCCCCCTCTTTATTATCCCCTATCTGCTGGCACACACTTAGGGCTGTGCACGTCATCATCGCTCTCTCCTCTTCATCAAAATCTCAAGCTCGTGCATAGGAGCGTACAGGTCATCACCCGTCTCTCCTCTTCATCATTAGCACAAGTGCACATCTTCCATTTTACCCCTCTCTCTCTTTGCTTGTCCATTCTCTCTCTTTCTTCCTTTCTCTCTCTTCCCTATTTTCTCTTCGTGCCCACATCTCTACCCGCGCTCGTCTTCCACTTTTCTCTCTACCCGCACTTATCTCCCACTTTCTCCTCCACCCACGCTCA